GATATTTTATTTTCTTTATTAAGTAATAACCATACTTGACGAAATAGGTTTCGTACAGCCAATAAATATAAAGCTTCGACATGAAGTAAAAAAACTTTAGTAAAAAAATTTTTCTAATATATTGATCAAATGCATATAAGTGACCTTCTTTAATTGAAACAAGTAAATCATGAAATGCATCAAGTTTATATTTAGCTATAATTTGTAATGATGGTGTATAACCAAATTGCATTTTTGATACACATAAATGAATTAATATGGATACTTTATTTTTTTTCATAAATATAGGATAACGTTGAAAAATTGGATCAAAACATCCAGTAGCTTTTCGATAATCATCTTTGAATAGATAAGATTTATTATCAATACTAATCTAAAAAATAATCATATGTCATTTTTTGATCTTCTAATAGGTAGTGTCGAAATTCTAATGATTGTTCTGCAAATGAGAGTAATTTTTCACCAAGTTCATAACGTTTAATTCTATGATATAATTTAAGTAATTGATTAAGTATTTGTATAGCACCCCATTTCTTGATAAACGTTGTTCTGTACAACGATCACTTGTACATACACGAAATGCTTCTGTAAGTAATTCAATTGTTTTAGTTACATTCGTCTCTGAAGTTTGTCGATCATCATCAATAGATAAATCAGCAATACGTTGTGATGGTGGACTTGTATTACCATCTGTATTTCTTGATATATATGTTGTAAAATAATTTGTTAAAAGACAAAGATCAGTTAAAGTAAGAATAAGTATTATTGGTATATGCCAATTTTTATTTTTACTTTCTTTAATAAGATCAAGTAAAGATCGACAGAGTGAATATTGATATTGTACAATATCATTTAAACGACTTTTATATAATAATGTTTGACATATTTTAATATGATTTGTTAATATTACATTCTAACCTTGTACAACACGACCATATTTTTCAAATAAATCACATGTATTTGCTGGAGAAAATTTTTCAATATAACCTTTATGTCGAATAGTTAACAGAGTACATAATGATAAGCTATTCATTGCAAATACACCTTCATTAAATTTGTCATCTATAAATACGTAATTTATATGCACAAATGAATTTATTTTTTTATTCACCCAGGACGATGATTCCTGAAGCAGTATTCCCAGAACTTCTGGTGAAAACTCACAGGAAACTCGCCGTTTCTGGCAGGGACCCTGCCGGAAAAGGCCCGGAATTTCCTCCTGACATCAGTTTCGGGCGGAACCGAGCGGATTTGGTCACCGGATCCGATCACCAGAATACTGCTTCCATTTTCCGATGAATTTCCCGTGTTTCCTCACGGAATGCCCAGGAAAATCACGGAATCTGGTCGTTTCCTACCGTACGTCTTTGACATGGGCACTTCTTGAATATTTAATAGATCCTTTTTATTTAGAAAACATAACTTTATACACAAAAAGAAAGCTAAACTACAGAAATAATATAAATAAAAATCAGTTTCATATCCCATAAATTACCAGATGAAGTTCATCATAAATAAGAGTGTGTGTGGGAGGGGATTGAGGGTGTGGATAAATAAAAGATAATTTTACACCCATCTTTGATCAGACTTTATGAAAAAAAAATTTTTTGTAAAAAAGTGGTCCTTTGTTTAAAAAAATTGATATTCGAAAACTTTTTCAAAAACTAATATCAGATTCGAGTTCCTCGATCTCAAAAACTCTGCTGTAGATGATTTGTGAGGGAAAGTAGAAAGAATTTTCTGTAATAAAATTTTTGCTGTAATCTTATTGGATTATGCAAACAGACGAACAGACAAACTTTGAACATTTTTAACCAGCCTGTGATCCTTTCTTTCCGAAAAGAGAATGATAACCAGGGGTGTAACGACTAAGAAACGCGTGGGGCGTAACGACCCCTCTGATTTGGAAAAAACTGTGTTTTTTTTGCTCGACAAAATTTTAAAAATTCAAAAAAACTTTTGTGCTAAATTCAAACAAAAATTTGTGCTGCGCTCTCCCCTCCTCTATTCTCGACATCTCGGTATGTCCTTGATGATACAAAATATGATTCACGATACGTTTAGTAATATATTTTAAAATAACTCCAGTCACATTTAAATAAGATCATTCATAAAATACTTTCTATCCATATATATATATATATATATATATATATTGCCAATAATACTATTTTTTTTTCGTTTTAGATATATCAAAAACAATAAATCAAGTAAATTTTAAATTAAAAGAATCTTTTTGTAATTTAAATGTTTATTTTAGCAGAATCCACAACAAATTACAGAGATAATGGTAAGTCAATAAAATTAGAGAAAAAATAAATATTTGTATGTTTTATTGTATAGCGAACAGTAGTACATGCGCCGTCGTCCGGCCTTATCTGTTGTACCTGTCGAAATAATCTTATAGCCAGTCAATTTGTCATCTGGATCTTATACACCAATTATGAGTACAACGTAAGTATTATACTTTATCTTTACAGAACGATTTATTCGTTATTTTGTTCTTTCTCTTTGAGTGCCACTAAACAGCTTGTCAACCGGCACGTCCATGTCCGTGATTGTTCGTCGTGTTTGTGCCGTCTTCGTCGTATTCTTGTCTTTATCTTTTTTCGTTTTAAAGGTATGGGTGTTGTTATAATTTCACACCCATACCCACACCCACGACCACCTACACCCTATCGATAGTGTTAGGGTGTATTTCGATCCCTTGATTCTTCTAGGTCATATTCTATGATATCTACTGTATATCTGATATGTTATCGATAACTTCTTTTGTTCAGCCTCGATCGATTTTTCTATTTCTCTTCTCTTTTGTTTTCACTATTTGTATATAAATCTTCGATTTTATAAATAAATCAATTATCGCCCGTCATTTTTTTTGTATATATCTATATATATCTATATATATATTATATTATATATAATGACTTTTTTTTCAGATGGCTAATGCAAATGTAATTTATGAAGAAAGATACGTAAGTCTATCAAAATAAAGAACAAAATAAAATATTTGTGTCACGCAGAATTAAGGTTTAAGCAAAATTAAACTCAAGTTTAAGATGATTTTATGAGCATTTAAATTGTAGAAAATTTTTAAAAAATACTTCAGTTGTTATCATTATTTTAAATTTTCAGAGATTCCAGTGTTCGTAAATTGTAAGTAATAGAAACTGATTATAATTTTCAGAGAGTATGGAGTTTTTAAGTTGTATTTCCTAATAAATGAATATAATTTTAAGAAGATATAGATCTCACAAGTTATTTGGAAAAAAAATGAATATAGTTTGAGAAAGATGTAGAATGCGGTCGAGGTAGAAAACAAAGTATAGCAAAAACTGTTTTAAAGAAGATAATAATGATTTTTCAAGAATGAGGTGGGTAGAATGATTATTTTTACCTCATTGAGTAAGTTTTATCGTTTCAGATTATGCGAATATCATCTCTACTTAATAAAAATATTTTATATATTTTATTTCTTTTAGCGGGAAGTAGTACGTGTGCCATCGTCACGAATAGATTGTAGTGAATTCACCGAGCCTATGGTGGCCGAGCAATTTGGGATACTGGTGTGGACAGTGTCGGGGGGGGGGGGGATGAACGTAAGTATTGTAGTATGTCTCCGTAGAATAATCTGTTTATAATTTTTTTTCTCTCCTCCTCTTTTAGTGGTACTACACAGGTTGTCAACCGACACGTCCATGCCCGTGATTGTTAGTCGTGTTTGCGTCGTCGTCGTCGCCGTATTCTTGTCTTCATGTTTTTTCGTTTTGAAGATATGGGTGTTGTTCTAATTTCACACCTACACCCATATCCAAACCCATACTCACACCCACATCCATATCCACACCCATATCCGCACCCCACCCACCATCACCCACACCCTATATAGATAAGATACAGTCATTCGTGATCGTATACAATGGTAAACCATAGCTTACGGACTCCGTAACGCTCGACCTAGCTAGTAAGTTTAAATTAAAAACATTCTTTTTTAAATTTTATTGCAAGAGATACCCCGTTCGATTTACATCGAAAAAACAGTAAATCAATAAAAATAGAAAACAAAATTAGATATTTGTATGTATTTTATATCTTTTAGAGAACAGTAGAACGTGTCCCGTCATCTGGTCTGCTTTGTAGCAGGTGTGGCCAGAACCTGGTAGCGGGCCAGTACGCCGTCAAGGTGATCGCGAGAAGTGGGGGTTACAATGTAAGTATTTATGGTATATTTTATAGAACAATATATGCATTATTTTCCTCTTCTTTCTCTTTTAGTGGTACCACGCTAGTAGTCAACTGCTACGGCCAAACCCTTGATCGTTCGTCCTGGTGGTCGTCGTCGTTGTACTTTTGTCTTTGTGTTTTTTCTGTTTCATGTTTTTCGTTTTGACGCTTCGAGTGTTGTTCTAATTTTACACCCACACCCACATCCGCCCACACCCAAATAAAATTATTACATTATAATGGTTAGTTTTTTTGCTGTTGTTAAATTTATTATCTTTATTCTTAAATTATTACCCATCAATGAAATTAAAATGGATTACATCAATTTATAATTAAAAAACATTAAAATTCATAAATGTATTATTTAATTTATATTAAATAATCATGTTATTATTTTTTATTTTTTGTGTCAAAAGAAAAAAATATATATGTAATTCCTATATAGTAAATAAATGAAGATCTGAAGATGATGTTCGTGTCAATGAACCTCGAAATATAACAAAAAGGAAAAAACAAGAATTTATAACATTATATAAATAGTTGTATACATAATCATGTATATAAAAAATAATGAACTTAAGAATTTTCACCTATTAATAATAATTTGCCAACAAAAAATCTCCACGTTGTCATTATCTTGGGATCTGATTGTGAAACTTCTCTCAAATAGATCCATTCGATTTCTTGTCGATTTATCCTCATCTGATACTTACTTATTTCATTGTAAAATAAAAACGATCTCGACAATTGAAGTTTTGTCAAAATGTAAAAGCTGGAAGTCAAGTCACTTCCAACGAAATAAACTTGCAGTTATTGAATAAAAAAATATTTCTTTTCGTAACTTTTTATTGTTTATTTCAGGATGACGTGTATAATATGTTTTCTTTTAATTATACCATATTTATATAATTATGAAGTTGTTGAGAAAAATAAAAAAATAATACCTTTCTCATTTCATCTATGTTTAATATATTTATCAGAGTAGTAATATCCAATTCTATATCAATTGTGTACACGACTTGATGCAGATCTATTGTACTAATTGAATAAATAGATAAATACTAGTTGTTTAGTATAACATCTAAGATAATATAATCAATGAAATTTTTATTCTATAAGATGTTCGATCAATTATTTCAGTATTTTGATCAGGAAATATTGTGTTTTTTTAACTTCGAATAAATACGTATGTAAAGAAAAATTGTGATTTATGATATTACTATTAACTCTGTCCTTAAATGACACTTCATGTTTAAGATTAGAATTGTTATTATTCAGTAATCTCTCTTTTTCTATTAGAATAACAATAGATATGTTACAGGCTAATTGCAATTCGGGGCAAATTAAAATTTTAATTTCCTCTATAGATGAATTTAAAACTTTCCTTGTAATAGACATAAGATCCCTAGATGAATGTCGTATTGCGAATAAATATTCGAATTATTGTTTTCATGCATAGCGTATTTTTTAGTAGACTATCCATTGTCATTAGAATCCGAAGAAGAAAAAAAAGAAATGTTTAGTTTTCACAAATAATCATTTATCTTGGAGTTGTGCATGTTATATTCAAACTTCAAAAGAATATTTCTCCTATCTTTATTCAAAAAAATATTAGAGGAAAGAAAAGACGTGTCAGCAACTGAGTTTTCTTAGTATAACCATAGAGATTCTGTTTTCTGCTGAGAAAACTTAATTTTTTGTTCTCGTCATTTTTTTATTCATACGCAATACTCTTTTTATGAAACAACGTAGTTTCTATTATTGTAATTATAACAACTATGAATGATATCACCAGTTCTCTGTTTCTATAGTTTCTGTTAGTGCATGCATGATACATCATAGCAACATACAAATAAAAGAAAAATAAGGGAAACATTTACTGAATGAATATTTTTCATTGACAAAAAAGTATTTTAAAATGTGTTGTTATGATAAACAACTATTTAAATTACCTTGGAATACCAAAAAGACTGTTTGTATTAATTTATATAATAATGAATATGACGTTAACACGATTTTACATAAATATGAATCTCAATTGTTTAAAGCATTTTCAGGTCAATGAAGAAAAATATGATTATCTATATAATTACAAATTGTAATCAATCAAAAATGGAAGAATAAGAAAAAGAGAGATTTTTGATACTGTGTCATACTTTGTGTTATAGACATTCGAAAAATCTAATTCAAACGTGTTTGATTTTGAAAAAATGTTCAGTTTTCTTGTGTAATCAAACAGTTCATTTGATTATTGTTCGTTTAGATATTAAAGATTGACTTTATTCTATCTGAATGATGCGATAGTTTACAGGTATATTGTATAGTCTATGAGACACATTTGTAGAACTTGAATTTCAATATATAAATAAATTTCAATTGAGTCTGTTTTTTGATTTCTATGGAAGATTTCATCAGTAACTAATTGTTGTTTATATTATCATTTGAAATTCCAATTTTGTTGAATCAATCATCCTTCATATAACATAAAAGATCTATTTATAAACATATTTGTCGTCAAACAACATTTAAACACGTAGGAAAATCATCTTTCCGAATGAATAAATTTTGTTTGAAAATAAAAAAAGTCTTGAATACTCTTTTGATTAAATTGATGAAATGAATTCAAAAAAAGTCCTGACTACTTTTCTTGATGAAAATGATGAATAAATTCTAGGAAAAACGATGCACTACCCACTCAAAAAACAGAGAAAAAAAAGAATCTATTGCTCAATAAATACTCTGTCTTCTATTAGGAATTGAATTCATTTCAACAACTTACAGTCTGCTTGGTGATGACTTCAAGAAGAGTTTGTTTATGGCTGTTATTTATGATTATCACACATTCAATCGAAGAAGATATTCGATCAGTGCAAATGTCTCTAATACCTGGCTCTAAATTTCAATGTGCCAATACAACATGTTTAGCATTCATTAATGTTATTACATCAAACATTAAGAATTGTCAAGTAGCCTGTTTAACTCAAAGTCAATGCAGAGCAGCAACTTTTCATCGATTAACTACTAATTGTGAATTATTTGGTGACATGTTGAATCAAAATGGAAACATGTTGGCTGATGTGGATGCTACTAGTATGGATGTTATTAGTGAAACACGATTTCCACCAGGTTAGTATAAAAATACAGGAGGTTCAAAAGAAAATATATCTGTGAGAGAGAAAAAGTTATTTTCTTCATGAAAAATAATTTCAAGGTATCAAGAACTAAGACAACTTGACAGAGATATTGGGCACATTTGTGTCTAAATGGCGGATTGATTATTATAGTAGTGATAAAAGTAAAGTAAATATGATAGAATTAAAGTTATAATGGAAATCACTTGAATATTTCCTATTTTATTATAATCAACTGATATTTAACATCGATACATTGTTACAGAAAAAGAAAAAAAATCTCATCCAGCTGTTTAGTCTGGCTCTAAAACCATTTTTTGAAAATAGAACCGACTACAACATCAACATCCACAACAACATCATCAACAACAACATCATCAACATCAACAACAACATCATCAACATCC